GCAGTAATCAGTTTCAGAAATTTCCAGAGTCCATCACAGCATCTGTGTAGACGTCAATGGGATCTTTCTACCAACAATTTCTCCAAATCCCTTCAAAACCCGCTGTAAAGCCGTAGCATCTTCTACGTCCCTTGACAAGGAGTTCCACAGCCTTTTATTCAGTGTCTAAATAAGTAATTACTTTTGTCTGGTTTTGAAACCCTTACCTGCTACGAACACTCATCTGGTGTCCCTTAACTGCTGTACCAGAATAATGAACAGTAATTTCCTCTTCACCCTCTCTCACATTCATTTTGGACACCACTGTTATACCCATTCCTCCACTTATCTCTTAACTAAGATGAAAAGATGAAACAGTCCTAGCTTATTTAGACGTTCCTCATATGGAAACCATTACATAACCTTTACACCATTCCTGACTCCTCTCATCGTATCTTCTCCATTTCACAGACACAAACTTTCCACCAAGATGATCAAGCTCAAGGAGTCCAGCCAAACATAAAAATAGTTATGGATACAATATGAACATCTGCAAGATGTACTGTGATCCATTTGTCAGATGACTCACGGAAGCTCAGAGACAATCACTGTCTATGCCACACAAATTTACCTAAACTCCAATCTTCGGTCTATGCTTCTTAAGAGATCAATCAAACTTATGTCTAAACTATTTGCAATTTCCAATACATGAGTAATCACCAGAAATAGATGCTTGTCTTTTAATGACATGCCTAAGTACTGGATTTAATCCTTTTCAGAACTGAACAGCATACAGACGTTATCTCACAAAGTAACTTTTAAAAACACAAATATTTGGGGAATCCTAAATACTAACAGTCCTGCAATAACATGAGTCCCTCTCTGCTTTGCGTATACAAAAAAACAGTAGCTAAAAGTCAGATGACTAGATCCAATTCTTTCCTTTTACTGAAGCATATCAGAAAAGCCTGTAACTTAAGGTAACTTTCAAGTAAGAACTGAAAAGCACATGAGCATTATACCTTTGTTTTCTGACGCCAAAGTGACATAAATGCTATAGTTCTTCTCCAGGCTTCAAAGGAGTTTAGAAGAAAACTGAAAATAAACCACGTGAGCAATAAAAGCACGCATCATTTCATTGCCTGCAGAGTTCCTTTTTGTCACTATAAGCATCTGTCTTACATATTTTTTCAGTAGATTTGTTCTTAAGTATGGCTGCTAAGTCTCACAAGTTTTAGATAGGACCAAATAACTCAGTTTAGTACAGCTCTACTGCAAAGGACAAAAATAAGCTGTGAGGCTGCTCACCGACTGGTTCACCTCAAAAGAGCCCAGCTTTTAGTGACAACAGAGGTTTGATATCATGAAGGTTCCCGAAGCTTCACAGCATAAATCCTGCTGACTTAACTTGTATACTATAAAACTAAAATTGAATTTAAAAGAAGGATCACTTTTAAAGAAAGTTCTGCACTGCTTAGACAATGTCATGTAATTTTCAGATTTAAACACTCCTCTGTTCCTGAAAGACCAGGACAGATGCAAGCAATAAGAGGAAGAGTTCATGAAACAACATTAACAAGAATTATGCTTAAGCTCTAAGAGACTTTAAAGCAATACAATAAAAACAAAGCATGTCCAGAACAAGCAGGCCCAATTTAAAGCAGCAGACTGTGTGACTGTCTTAAATTATAAAGCCCTTCTTTTCCCTTTAAATAAGGTTGCTGTTGTTGGAGATTAGTCTCAGACATAAGCTTGATCACTAGACTTTTTATTTCATGCACTCGTGAAAAAGCAAAATAATTTGGTCTTGCCTGGAAGGGGAAGGGCAAATCTACAAGAAAGAAAAATAGAAACTACTACAGTACATAGCACTGTTGATCAAAAGCATATAATAAATTCCCAACCTATCATCATTCATGTAAATAAAGCTCATCTACAACACAGTGTGGGTCCCGAGACAGCTCCATCCACAGCAGTTGCCTTACATTTCCTTTTCTGCTTGTTGCTTACTCTTTCCTGTCTGGCTTCTAGGTAAATTCTGGGAAAACAGATGCAAGGATGACTTCAAAGTGACAATAATTTTGCAAGTAAGAAGACAAATGTTAGGACTAATAATTTTCATCCACTAAGTAATAACTTGAATAAATCCTAAGCCTGTTTGCCAATATTAACAAACAGATGGCAAAACAAATCAATACAACAGTGTGGAAATTCTATAGAGGATAACAAAACTGTCAGACGTCTGAAGCAAATAAGCTACCGAGAGCTTTACGTACATTACTGATGGGTGCTATGAACTTTTTCAAAGAAACAATAAAACCCCAAGCTCCCAAATCTACTTCACTGTACAAATAGGAATTTTACTTCCACACATTAACTGGCATCCAAGAGAATCCTTGGAAAAATAGCGCGAGGGCTCCCTCTTCTGACAATGTTTTGGACAAGCTGTAAAACCGGTCAGCCTGTACATGTCAAGGTATGTTGTTTTGGAAAAAAAATCCTGGCTCAGGTACATGATATTTATTTCCCATTAGTTAAGGAAGCTGAAAGTGTTTTAATCTTAAAAGAAAAATAAACTGAAGTCTATGAAACTGGTAATTATTTTTATTACAAGGGAATTGATTTAAATTTTACAAGTAGGATTTAAAAATAATGCATATTTTGACCGTGTAACTTGGAAGGAAACTACCTAAAACAGGAAACACAATGTAAGACTGATATCAAAGCATTTAACAGATTAATAGATAAGATGAGCTGTATCCAGGATCAGATTACAAAATAACAAATGGTACTTTATAATTTACCAAGCACAGATCTACTGAAGTAATATCTGAATACAGTGGCCCTAAATGAATCACTAAAACAGACACCATTAGATCTGTGGACCCAGCTCTCTCCTAAATCAGACCACAGAATTCTTGGTTAAGAATGTATTGGAAGTCAATAGTGCCCAAGCATATAAACAGATATTTGAGAATCATAGACCGTTTTAATCTTTTTCTCTTAATATATATTTGTGACTATTTCTCCCTCTGTTGAGCTGCTGCCCCTCCCTTTGGACTGACCACTCAAGCTACCTTTCCCTTCAACCAACCCTCTCAACTGCTGCTGAGCAAATGTCACCTGAAACAGTTCCCTTGTTCCCTCAAACCCAGAAGATAAACAAGAAAATACACAAGCCAATGGTGTATATTTAGGTCATTTCCACAGAGGATCTCAACTTTTCACTCACTAGCTGCTCACTTAAGCAGACTGCAAATAGTCTTTGAAAGCAGATGCCTTGTTAAGTTACAGAATTTGAAGGAATTCACACATCCCTTAATAACAGAAAAGATTTAAACATTTCTCTACAAGATATATCCCTTCCACATGTTCTATTCGCTAAACTCAATATATTCAATAAAGCAAGCCAGGGTAAAATTTTGCTCCCGTGGTCTACAAGGAGACACTGTCTTATAGTATTTTACTGTTCCTTATTTAATATACTGCTGCACACTCTTCACCTTGGTCTAAAATCCATGTTTTGAAACAGCTCTCCTCCCTTCATCTGGGAACCTCACAAATAAATCATCATTCCCAGTTGGCAGAAATTGCCTTTTCACCCTCAGTGAAAGACTGATGCCCAATACATAGTTATTTCCCTATTGTTCCTCTCTTCTCTGGAGACAGCTGATGTAACTTGCTCTCCCTGGCTGATGATCTCTGAATCTAATCACAGTTTTTTGAACTCCAAGATGCATGATACGAACACATGAGGACAAGCTCAACTGCATTTGTAACAATACGATGCAAATCAGGTACATTCCTGAGTCAGAGTATTAAACAAATAGTTTGCTTGTACTTTAAAGCATTCTAATAATTTAAATATGTATTATTTAATAACACAAGATTAAACAGTTGAACAGGCCAAGCTAATTTCAGTTAGTACAAGAGTCAACAGGAGCAAAGGTGGCAAATGTTCACAGCCTCTACCATCCAGCCTGAAAAACAGACGCCACAGATGAGAGGAGGGAGCTCTAAATTGGAAAGATGGGCGAATACAGTAGCTCCCATGGCTAGCAAATATGATACCACCAGTATTTTTATAGGTACCTTCTGTCAGTAATAACAATACCGTGTTGTATGCAAAACAAAACTCATTCTGTAAAATAGTAGTCCCTATAAGGAATGGAAATAGGCAAGAGAAAGAACAGTTCCTCTGATCACATGAATTAAGCAGACATCTATTTTAAACATACATAACTAACAAAATTAACTTCAAACCAAATTTAGTTTCCACTGAACCTTAATACAGCTTAGCAAGCCCCTGCCAAGAAAATAAGCACACGTTTTAAAAGCACTTCTGAGTTGGTGGAAGAAAAATACAGTTTCTACTGCATCTCATTTAATCTCCCATGCTACTTTAATTAGCATAGTTTCTGAACATCAGTCAGGATGTACATTAATAACAGTCCAACTTGCATTTGCCATCAACTATGCAGTTTTCTTTTCCATCCTCTTCCAGGAAGGTAACATGAAGTCATAAAACTCACCCCAATCTTTCAAAGGCTCTACATTTTAAATTCATCATCTCAGCATAGAACAAAATTTTACTGCTAGACCAGCAAAGCACAGTCCATACAAACACCACTGTAATATTACATTAAAGTTGTTTAAAAAAGGAAAAAAGAGAGCAATGCTTCTTAAAAAATTACAGTGGAAATATTAACACGATTTATTACTAAATCTGGTTATCACAAACCAAAGAAAAGGCATTTTTCACCTTACCTTCAGTAACCTCAGTTGTTACTGAAGCACCCAAATTACCCACTTTAAGATTTAAAATGAATCCAGTTTATAAAGTAAAATCATCATTTCACCTGAAGTTAGCAGACAAATAACCATCCTCATAGATGATGATTGCAATACTTTTCCTTTTGAAAAGGGAAATAAAGCCAAAACACTGATATATATATATATATATAGGCAAAGTAGTCACTTATATTTTACTTTTCTTGCTATGTTAAATCAACTTAGTTTACCTTCTCACAGAAGTCAGTAAGAAGAGCACAACAAAATAAACCTCAGAGATACTTACTAACACAAGAAAAACGAGTTCATGAAACTCCTTTTTGAAGCAGCAGTACCATCTAGTGGCTAAAACCTGTCACAGAGCCTACCAAAATCCATAAAGCCGTATTAATATGGTGTGACTCGAATCCTGTATTTTAGGTTTAAGCATTGAATAAGCTTTTGTCTACAGGTTTTTCCTCCTAGCAGAAAATAAGATAAGGCACACCTGGATCTCCCTACAACACACAGCAAACATTCCCCACCCAGTGCTTGCTCTCTTCAAAAATATGAAAAAAGTGTCCCTCAGAAATATTAGCAGAAGTTTTACCAGTTTACAAACTTAAAGGACCAGAATCATGACAATAGGGCCTTTACAACAACCACCACCCTTAAAAAATTCTCAAGAAAAAATACCAAATAAAATAGGATTATCAAGGGATGTTTCCTTAGTTGCCAGGAGAGCACTATTTATTTGTTTATAGTTTATCTGTAGTTTTTGCATTCTCCTCCTTTCCCTGCCTTTCAGGTATAATCTAAATTCCATTATTCTTTACAAGAAATATAATCACAATTCATTAAAAGTCAATGAGAACTGTAAGAGTTATCAAGAGAGCATTAGTCCCTAAAATGTACAGGTTTCTTTCAGCAGCTTGAATTGTTTTAGTGGTGTATACTGGTGTGAACTGTTACAGTTTCAAGCTCTCACCTGTGCATCGCCCTACCAGCTGGTTGTAGAAAAAGCCTACAAGCTACATGTACCACAAGGAAGTAGGTACCACTGGACCAACACGGTTTTATGTAGACTTAAAAAAGACAATTCATTCTAATAATACATAATTATTTATTAAGACTCTTAGGGAATCCCTTGAACAGCATAGATTTTTTAAAATTTATTTTCATAAGTGATTAAGCAAATAGGACTGAGCCAGAATCACTAACAGTACACAGAGAGCCTGAACATATGTACATATATATACGGACTTGATTTCAAATCAACAAGCTTACCTTCAAATCATGCGAGCAAGTAAATTTGTTAAGTAAGGCAGTTTGGATTAGTTCCCATCGACTTCCAGCAGTTCTATCTCCATTCTTTAAAACAAGAGCCCAAAACAAAGTTAGAGTAAGTTATTCAAAACAGAAAGACATGTTTACTAATAAACGTCTTCCTTGCCACATTTGTTTTTAAAGAAAGTTTGCTTTATCTGTGAAGTTCTTTAAAAACAAAGCACATATTTTGAGTAACTGTAAAGTACTTCTGCAACTTCCAGCCCACTATATTTTACTTCCTTAAGAGTTTCTTTTTAGTTGAAGCATTCACAAAATTCATAAAGAGCTCTTTTTCACATCTGCAGCCCTCTTCCTCATGCCATCTCAAGAAGGACAAAAAATGTTCAGTACATTCCTTGTGAAGAAAGTGGATTTTGTAGATAAAATCCACAACTAAAATATATGAACCGAACCAACTTTATAAAAATGCAGTATTAAGAACAATAAGGGCACAGATTATAAAAGCATATTGCTATGGCTGACTCTTGGCGAACCCAATTTTAAGACATCCTGTGATACTTTTCCCTCAACAGAAAGTCTTAGTGGCCATTGCAAGCAATAATATTTCTTACGAGACTAGCACAAGGACAGAGACAACTCAATCTTGCTCAACTGGCAACAAAGATCTTATGAACACTTTATCTCCAAAACATCAGTTAAACTCATTTTATACTATATCTGTAAAATTGATAAAAATATGGAGAGTATTTCCTAGTGGCTATAAAAATTGTGTTCAAGTATCAATAATCATTATACAGCCTTCACTACAGGACACACCTGCTCGTTTTACTCACCACAGCCTAAAGTATTTCAGTGGGTATGTTTAAGTAAGCCTCGAGCAGTGACAAGAAATACTGGATCAATAAACCATGCAAGGCCAACTCTAATCTCTCCGCTATTGTTTTAGCAAAACAGCAGGCAGATAGACCTCAATCTATCAGCAATACCTGACAGAATATTCCGAATATGGTTATAAATTCACTTACATCTGTTGGCATCCCAAATTGCTTCCCAAAAACATAAAATATATAACAAATAGATAACTTATATATGAAGCATAAGCTTATACTCCCTAAGTACAGAAATATATACACCATCAGATCAATGGCTAGATAAAATAATTACTACCAAAAAAAAAAATCTTCTGCTCTGTTTGATGCATCACGACCCAGATTCCAGCTTTTCAGACCAGGTATGTTCATCTATTTCATTTTCCAATTCCATACACTCAGTTTGCTAACTCAGCAAATGCAGTACACCGAAAACTCATCTATATGTAAACAAACTTATTTGATTACACAACTGTAAATACTTTATCTTACCTCATCCTCTACAGGGTATAAATTTTGTTCTGAACAGGGCATTTTAACATGTTTGTTGTCCCACAAGTCTTTGTAGTGAGTTGGAAAAGGCTTAGGGACCTCTCCTTCCCTCAGAAGATCTACCTGCAACACAGAAGGAGGGCGGGAAAAAGGTCAGACTCTACTTTCAAGTTTTTAAATGGAAGAAATAAAAAGTAAGCAAAAACAGCTTAAAAAAGCTCTTATCTACAGCCACCCTTTTTAGAAAGGGGAAAGCTACAAATTGACCACATGATAGATACTCAGATTAAAAAAAAAAATAAAAAAAATCCATGTTACCCTGTTACTCTTATGTTAAGCTTGGTGAAAAGAACACCTTATCATTTGACCTCTTATAACATGCTGAAATAAAGGTAATACATGTAATTATCAGCCAAATACTTCCTCATTTATGAGTTTAAGTATCTACATAGTTTCATACAAATATTTTGAAAAATGTAGTTTCCAAGCTAAACATAGTCATGTGCAGAAATAACTTTTTTTTTAACCTAACACTGAAGAGGATGAGAAATCATTATAGATATAGCAATATTTCAAGTTTACTTCACAGAATATCAGAAATGTAAAAATAACTAACACAATGTTCTTAAAGACTTAATCTGCTATACGGATTTCTGGCAGCACAGATTCTCTCAAAACTTGCATTTAAACTTTATGTGCTTTTCTTTTGTTTGTGATTTATCCATGACCCTAGAGATTTCTGGTCACTTGTTTTATTTCAACAATAATTTGACTGCATACCACGCCAAAGGATTAAAGGCAACTATATCAGATTTGATCTAAAATGCAGTGGTAAAATTGCTAGAAACTCCTCTTCATTCTTTGTGGGTTTTAGATCTTAAATATCTGAGCCTTTTATATATCTTGAACCCAAAACAGAATCATATTAAAATGAAAATGTAACATGAAAATGCTGAAGTACAAATTTTACTGGCAGACATATTTAAATTCCCACAGTTTACTACTCAGACAAGGAAGTACACACACATCCCTATGCAAAAGAAAAATACTTGTCCCTAAGAAGCCAGAGGCAGTAAAACTATAATTACATTTCTTTTGGATCTTAATACCCTAATTTTGTGCATCAGAAAAGTCAATTTTCAGGAAAATCAGTTGCCCCAGTCTGCTCCCAAGGAACAGCAAAGAAGGATTTCCACAACCTGCTAATACTTTAAGACTAACATTTGGCATTTCATATTATTGAACGATTCAGTAAGAAATTTGATTTCAGGTAATACACTGAATTATCGTACTCTGACGGTTACTGTATGACTGGCTGAGGGTCGCAGATGAGGAAGACGGGCCCCACACATAGGCATTCTTCTCATCTCTTCAATTGGTGTCCCAAACCATTTCTTATTAGTTGGAAGAGGAGGTGGCGTATACTTAGGAATCTTCCTTCCTGGCCTCCGGGGTTTGAATTCACATTTTTCTTTTCTGCTGTTAAAATAGAATAGGTTGAAACATTTTATTTCCACTGAAAAACCTGGTAGGCAAATACACAAACTTCCACTCCAGCATTACATTTACAACCGATTCAGCTTATTTGCTAACCTTTGGCCCCAGGCCAAAGCTTTATTTGGGGAAAACCCACACCACCAACCACCTCCTCCTCCTCCCCATCACACACAAGGACATGATGTCTACCAAAACACTCTTCTCTACAAGCTTACGAACACTTCCACAGAACTGCAATATATTAGCAAGGCAGGGTTCTCCTCTGCAGAGTCATGCTCTTGCCCAACAGGATCTGTTTACCCAGAGACAGGAGACAGTCTCATTTTTCAGGATACCCTCTACAGCCCCTTCTCAACTGTTAGAAAACAAACACGTGTGCATGCACAGATGCACATATTCCTTCTTCAAACTGGAAAAAAAAAATTATAAACTTCTTAATCACCCTTTCTCACTAGGGTTGTATTTTTCATGCCAGGCATACAATACTTGCAATAGAAGTAGAAATTTAAAAGTAATCCAAAAAACACTTGCAAAATTCAAATACATTCAAGAGAAGATGAACTAATCCTCTTTAATGATCAGAGGTATGTGCATGGATCTGAGAAATTCTGGGGAAGAAAAATCCGAACCTGCTGCATGTTTGATGTAACATACCAGAGGTTTCTCATGCAAGAGAAAGTTCAGAATTAAATGCAAATCAAGTTAAAAGCCTATGCTTTGAGGTACTGTTTAGACCTTTAAATTCCCCTTAGCGAACTTACTCCACCCTTGGATGAAGATGTTGTGCAACCCGTTCGCTGCATCTGTGCATATGCCAGTACCTTCAGGTGCAGACAGCACCGTCAGCCTGGCCGATCACAGGCAAACGCTGTAGCCACATCGGCGTGATGCTGGCTATAGGCCCACTGTGCTCATCTGAGAGCCGGAGGGTAATTCCAGCACAGCACTGCTGATGACTGAAACCTGTCTGATACACTACTGCTTCTTTATCCGCAAGTTAAGATCTGAGCTGCTCCATTATCTGCTATTGACCTGGTCTAACAAAAACCAGGAAGAAAACTTATAAGATTTTCTAATTGCCCTCTGAAGCACTATATACAACACCACTGTTTTGCCTGGCACTGAGGTTTATAACCTTTGTATCATCTTGTTTAGGCCCCAAAAAGGAGAAAAAAAAAATAAAATAAAATAAAAAAAAAATCTCTCGAGCCTCATACTCTACCTTACTAATTATTCTGTAAAGCACTGCTAGGATTCCCATCTATCCACACAGCAAAACCTTTGCATGAGTTTCCCTTCTCAAACACAGATTTATTATAACACATGATGCTCTAGCACCATCAAACACAAGCCTCAACCTCTGATGCTTTGCTACAACAGCAATTCATTTGCATTAATGAAGAGAGTACTTCCTAAACCCACCATTTTAAACTTTATGACCACCTTCTCCATACTACTTTTATCAAATTCTTCCTCCATCCATTTTTCCTAAGTACTACCTTTTTTTGTTTTCCAAATCCACTCTCAGCCTACGCATCTCTTAAGATTTCTCAAATGCACCCCTGCTGCTAGTTAGCCTCCCTCCATCACCCTCTTCTTCATTTCATTGAAAGGCACGGTTTGTGCTGCTCCCCACAACCAGAAAGGGCCTCCCAGTAAAGATGTGCAGAACTACTTTCTTGCCCTACTTTAATGACTTGAGTCTACAGAAATAACTGCTTATTACACCAACACACAGAGTCCTCTTGTTTCTGCTTACTCCTTTGCTGTTTATTCACTTCCTCAGCTCCCACTGAAATCTAAGCTCTTCAGAGCAGAGATTATCCATTTGTCCTTAGGCAGCATTTAGCATACGGCATCCTGGGTCATGCTCAGGGCTTCCATTTCCATTGCTGTAGTGTGTAGCCACCAGTCCTTCTCCCAGATTATGAACGAAACCAAAAAAACCCCACTCACACACATTTCTACAACCGCTTTCACAAGTGGAATTTTTCATGTCTATTTCAATCAAATATTCAACAAAATAGATTCAGTATTTTTGACAGATGAAACTAAAACCACATCAGTTTCCTCAAGTATTCTGAAGGAAATCAGAATGCTAGAGCTACACTCCATAAAGCATTCCTGTACCACCATTCAGTCTCAAGCATTAAAAATCCCATGGTCTTAAATCACTTTGATAAAGAAAATCAACTTCCTACCATGTCTTTAATTTTAATGTAAAAAATTGCACTGGACAAACATATCCTTCAAAAAAACCACAAGTAGTCCCATTAAAAATAAGTTACTTCAAGCTTACATCAAAGTTGTCTTTGTGTCTTAACACAGATTTTGCAAAACTCTTTATACAATCCAGCCTCCAAAGTGTTATCACCAAAAAGGAAATTCTAGAGTGTGAAAAAACAGATGAAGAGACAGACAGAACGCTACCTTTTCTCATCGATCTTAGGTATCCTCATGAAGTGAGAGGTGATTTTGGAGTCTCTCTTCACACCCTGTTTTGCACCTTTACATTCTGATGATGGAGCAGGAGAGATCCCAGGTGATTTTGTAGGCAGACCGCCCTCTTTAACAGAATTATCTATTTCCTCAAAGCTTCCAGAGACCTTGGCAGAAAAACGTGACTTTCTTGACTCCAGTTCAGCATCCCCATATTGAATTCTAAAAGATTTGTTTACGGATTTTGACATATTAATCTCCTCTCGCTCATCAAGAAACGGACTTGTTTCTTCATCAGCCTCTGACCCATGACAGCTATTTTTGGAATTATCTACATCCATTGGTGACTCTGGTTCACTTTCTTTCTCAAACGCAGGTGACTCCCCTGAACTGCTCTGACACTTGCTCAGTTTCCCAGGACCTCCAAGATCAGATACACAAGCATCACAGCCAGCATCTGAAAGTGGGCTTTCCGGAACTACATCCCCTTCTTCCTGTTCACCTGTTAAACAGACAGAATTGCAACTCTTCAGCTTCTGTGAATTGCAAGAAGCCACTTGTCCATCTGTCTCGGTGTCTTTTGAAGAAAGCTTTGTATTTCCCATTTTCAAAGACCGGTCTGATGATAATTTCCTCTGAGTCCAATTGTCACTGCTTTCTTCACAGGCTCTCTGAGTCTGCTTGCCAGTTTTGTGCATCTGATCGATGTTGGCATTTTTAAAGAGGTCTCCAGACTGTGTCCCCTTCACAGGCTCTGTGTCTAAGACTGGATCTTTGTCCTCAGCCTCCCAGTTATACATGCTCCCTGTCTGAGGCAAATTTACATGCTTTGCACCAACTTCCACAGATATTTTTGAATAATTTTGCTGACAAATATTCTCTAGCTTTTTCACATCATGCTCACAAAAGTTATCTTTTTTAATGGAAGTCATCTTGGGATTTGCTTCAGTATTGTTATTAATTTTGCTGTGTAAGCTGTGGAAGAGAAATAAGGGAATTTAATGTCTTATCTCCAAATGAAGTTTCTGTGTGTTTATATATATATAAATTTTTAAAGGAATGATTATAAACATACAATAGAAACTACAGAATTTTACCCATTATACTCTGCAAGCGAGCACTACCAGGATCAACAAGTTTTAGTGCACTGGGTAACATAGCTCAGTAACAACCTATTTCCATTTAAAGGCTCCAAAGGATGATGAATCAGTTGCTTACCTTAGAAATCTATTCCACCAATTCATTATCCTTACTCTCAAATTTAAACAGTATTAAGCTATTATTTACTTATTTTCTCCAGATGAAAAAAGTTAGCAGTCGTGATAAAGTCCTCCTTAACTTTCATTTTAATCAGTTAAATACAGTCAGCAAGGAAATCAATGGGTTTGTAGCCATTCCCTCAGAGCTACAAATTAATCTTTCAGAAGAGCAGGACACAGTAGCCCGTAATCTCAAAAACATTCTAGTATTTCCTTAGTTTTATAAGCAGCCCATGACTTAGACAAAAAAAAAAATAAAAAACTCACAATACAAAAGCATAAGAGTAAAATATATTTAGAGCTGATAATAAAAATTAAAAGACACATTAAAACAATTGTTATTTTTCTTTGCAGCAGCAGTATTTATTCACCTCAACAGTGAGGTACATCAGGAAGATAAGTCAGCAAAAAAGTTTGGGTTTGGGGAGTTAGAGGGGAGGGGTGAGGGACTAGTTAGCTTTTGGGTGTGAAAGTCTGTCAGTTAGTTATACCCAAGAGGATGCACCAAGGTAAGGAAAGCAGCAGAAAGGGAGTTGCCTTTTTTCCCAGTAGCTAGCTGTACTGGCAACCTGCACTTTGAGTTGCCCACAGGCCCACTCGAAAAACGCAACCTTGGAATAGGTATGCTGTGCATTTTACCTTTTGGACTCAGTTGTCTTGGGTCCTTTATTCTCCAACCAAGTGGTAATTGTCCGCTGTTTACAAACTGAAAAACGACAGTTCACTATGTTATTACATGAAACACAATAAAACTGCAACATGATTGCATATGAATAAGATAACTTGTACTGGATAGAGATAAAAATGCCTCAATTAAGTCTTCATTATCATCTCTACTATAGGGAGCATCCAGACACTAACACTATTAAAACTACATGTGATGCAATATTTAATTAGTATCAGTCAGCAGCTGTGGCTTCTGTAGCAATCTTTACAAATGCCAGGCTTGGTGTGTGTAGATTTTTTTTTTATCCAACTTTTTTTTTTTTTAATATGGTTTAAAACATACAGTGAATCTCTAGATTAAAAAAAAAAAAAAAAAAAAAAAAAAAAAAAAAAAAAAAAAAGCAACTTGAACTTTACTGCTCTCATTATCACCGTTAATTACCACCACCACCACCACAGTGAGTCCTGAAAGATTTCTGCTGAATTTTGGAACCAAGAGGCAACATGACATAGCTTAAAACAAACAAACAACCAACCAGGCATCTTAGAAGACCCAGCTGAGAACCTTATTTACATATAGCATACTATGGCATACTGATGATTAATATAAAGATTGTACACATTAGAAGTGACAAGTGCTGAGAAAAGGACTTTTTCTTTTCCCCTCCATCCATAAACAATTTGTAAAGCCTATTAATGCTTACTCCCCTAAACAGCAACAAATGCAAAGGGGACATTTTTTTCAGATTTACTACCAGCAACACAGCTCCAGTAAACGTGATCAGTCTCTGTGATGTTGCAGTTCAGACAAGCTTTCAACAGAAACAGCAGCCCATGAACTAATTACATAGACACTTGGTGGGGAACAGGGAGAAAAAACTCAAAGCAGTTATTTCACAACTGGAAAGTAATCTTCATTAGTATAAGAAGGGTTATTTAGTTTTGATTTATTGTTGTCATTTAAAGGCAATTCTGAAAATTTGGCAACTAGCTTCAGCTCCCTTTCTTTCCATTTGCCAAGGGAAGTTACCTAGCTGGCACTGCTGACTGTGAGAGGTGTTTACTCACTGCTTTCAAATGGGTAAGTAAAATTTGTAGTTCCCCTATCGCACCAGTAGTTTTGCAGAACTTAAAAACCAGCACTGCAGATCTGGCTATGCTGATTAATAGTCACTACAGAAAAGACCCAGCATTTTACTGTAAATGGAGGTTGTGTAACTTGTAGCACAGGTAGCTTAGGCCACAGGTAACTTAAGAGACATTGTTTCATAAAAGCTTTCCCTAACATTTGAGGCCTTGAATGCTTTTCCACATCTGGTTATCAAATATCCTCATCAAAAGTACAGAATTTCTAGAATGAAAAAAATAATCTCCAGAAAATGTTTAAATCATTTTAAGTCTTCTGAAACAGCACAAGTGATAATGCAATATTGCCCCCATGTGACCAGGTCACCAGGGAGCGATGCCAAGCTGTATGTAGATTACAAGCACAAAGATACCCGCGCCACACTCAGCCAAGTCGATTTTTCAACAAATGCTCAGCTTCACCCTACTTGGACAAAAATAACTGTTTGATGGATTTTATGAACTAAAATATTTTTATTACTAAAGATGCACTAAAGCTGAAGTATATTAGTCATTCTGTTTGCCAAATTTCACCTTCTTATATTTGAAGCGTTTACCTAAATTGCCTACAGGAACGGGGAAAGAAGCAGCCAGGAAAAAAAACCCAAAGAGACATGTTAAAACATGGGATGAATAAACCTCTTCAAAGGCAGCTGACTACCTCTTGAGGTATAAACTTGCATTGAGGAAGGAATCATTAGCACAATAAATAGAAATTATAGCAGCAGAACAGAACAAAATGGCTTTGTTCTGAACTTTCATATCTGACTAGCCATTTAATCCCTATAAACAACATAACTCTTGTTTGTTTCCCATGCTGCGTGCGTTTGTAACATATCACATATCATTTTTCTTTAATACTACTAACATCTCTTTTTGCTACAGATAAGGTCATAAAAACATAGGAGGCAACAAAAAGACAGCATATGCTTACATTCAGTACAAACACGAAACCAGACTTTGGTGGAATTTTTTTTAAAGTGGTCTCTAAATTTCTATTCAAGATTCCCCAAATCATTGCCATAAACCAAACCATTCCTCAGCATCTACCATTGAGGAAAACTGATTTGTTAGAAGATTCTTATTCATCACTCTGCAGGAGGGCACACATGTAACTTCATACTATTATCTACTCAAAGTTGCCTCTTAGTTACTGAGGTTTAACTTATCAACCAAAGACCATAGCAAGTCTGTTTGGATTTTTTCTCCTTCCCTACATTCCTTCCTATTCCTGAAACAGGTACTTTATGGTGCATTAAAATTTTATTTTGACAGCATTAGCTTCAAATAAAAATAACTTAAGAAAGCCACGTGGGAACTTTTTCAA